GCCCACAGAACCCAAAAGGCAAGATTACGCGCGAGTGACGAAAAACCAATATGAGCCTAGAAGAGCATGAGCCGAGATTCACGCGGATTAATGGTCCGGCACACCTTTTAAACACCTCAGCCCCATTTACCTTTACCGAGATCCATCCAACCAATGCATTGGTCAAATAAGGTGGGGATCGCGTGGACGGGATACATCTCCAGAGATGCACTCTAACGATCAAGTTCTCGAAATTGGCAGCTTCAACACGATCAACTACGCAACTTGTGACACGGATGTTTGTGTGTAGAAGAAGAGACCTGCTCAAATGTCAAAGTTTCATTTTTTTAAATAACCAACTACGAAGATACTGCCCACGGGAACGCAACCAACTAGTTAATCACTGATACAAACTCTTCGCATTGCTTATAATCGTATGCACATGGACAACTGCAAAACGACACAAGAGACACAGTGGACCTGGGAACGGCATCAAAGGCACTAGCTACTAGGCAATATTAAAGAGTGCCATAATACCCAACCCTCAAAGCGACGGGCAATCATAACTACTGCAAGCTTCTCATTGGAGCGACTGGAAGACGACCGAGCCAGCAGTTTCACAATTACCTTCGCCTTTGGAAAAATTTTTGCTAATTGGATGATGAACAAGGAAAATGAAAACCACACCCTCCCGCAATGGCCAACAAATAGTTGGCTACTTGAGCCCCAACCACAAAAAAACCACATTTATTTCTAACAGAGATCGTGAGACAGGAGATGCTTCCGTGAATAGACGGCCTCCGAGGGGATTACTTTTTCGCTTGGTGGGCGGATTTGCCGGGATCCTCCTTCAGAGTCACCGTGCGATTGAAAACGAGCTGAAAATGAGGAAAACAAAACATTTAGTGATGTGATAGGATGATAACGAGGTAGTGAAATTCGCTTCCGGGCTTCGAAAAACTGCCGGCTATAAAACAGAGGCGCAGGGGTTTTCGGAAGGCAGGGACCCATGAGCAAATTCTGAACCGCCAAGCATAAGAATCCGGTTTCGTAGGGACAAAAATCGGCAGTTTAAGTGTATAAAGAATACGTGTCCACTATGCGGCGGCAGGTTAAACGGCGGACAGTGCCATCATACCGTGAAGTACAGATCTTAAGCGATTGGTTGAATAGGTTGAAGGGACGTGGTTATGCATAATCTTTCTTTAAGGGAGACAATGTGATTTGAGAAAAGGGCGTCTCGGCTGAAGGCTTTTGGTAAGACTGAAGGCTGAAGATTACACATTGGAGGCAATAGCTAACGAAATGCAACTCAAAATTCAACACAGCGAAGATCACCCAAATTAATCGATAAACCGCACACTTCTGATCTGATTAAATGCTGCTGTGCAAATGATTCGCCGGTCAGTTGCACAACAGCGACTCTTTCTCCTCGGCATCCTCGAGCACTCGCTAATTGCCAGTTTGTTGCACAGCAAAAAAAAACAAGTAGGAGAAAATTGCGTTCGGGAAGGAATTGTGCGAAAACTCCCATTTTGAAAGTAGGCACTTCAGACAAGGTAACCACGGCGAGTGGCTGTGATAAATGATACTTCATATTTCGTAGCACATGGCTGTTTTTCTAGAGGAGCCGAGGAAATCGCCTTCGAAATGCTTCCAAAACCAAGATCGGAGGAGACGAATAAGGGGAGTAAAACATGCGGGTTACCAGTTCATTTCGAGGTCAAAAGCACAACATTCTCAACTATGTTGCCGTTTGATTCGAGCAGCGCGGTTTATTTAAAAACTGTATGATCTTGAAACTAACCAACTCACGGAATGTGACCTAAATTATAGAAAGAGCCAAGTAGAAAGTTCAATATTGGCCAAGAAAAATTAGTGGCAATGAAATATAGGTCCGAACAAAACCTCCACATACGAAACCCAGATATAAAAAATGAGGAAAGCAATGGAACGATTGAAAGCAACTCAGAAATCAGGTTCGGCGACCACCACACTGGGAGCTCCAACAAATTCTACCTGGAAAGACATTTGACTTCATGGAACACCGACCATTAAAAGCGAACACATTTGGTCCACTTGTCTGCGACTGATTCATTGACGGCGATTTGTTGTGACAGAACACAGCGAGCGTCGAAAGCAGACACTACAGTTAACAATGCCAACACTCCTACACACTGCAATTTTTACGTGGAAACAATTGAGGTGGCCTCTCTGTGTGCCGTAGAAGGCAGTTACAACAAAAGCAAGGGTCATTAATCACATGTGATCTTCAACGTTTTTGGGGTTTGCTCGTTTACACAATTCCGGTGACATTACAGTTGAAAGGAGATTTTTTCATTGTACGGGTCGTGAAAAAAATTGGTCTTTTCTTCACTGTGAGGTCAGAAGGAAGCTAAGTACGTATTTTCGCAACATCTTAATTGGGGAAATTTTGTTGAACTCCTAGACCCAGACGACCAAAAAGAGATGGTTGACAAAATCAAAAAATCGTTAGGAACGCGGTCTGCGTCGAGAGAACTTTCCAAGTCCTTTCAGAGATGTAATAGACACATGGTGCAAGTCCTTTAAGTCTATCGTAAGAAGCCCACGCAAACAAGGCAATCTACTAAATATAAATGACCCGGATTACGTTTACAAAGAGGGGAACGATCGATAAAGACACATGACCCTACAGTAGCCGCTTTTACGGAAAAGATATTTGCGAAGTACTGATCTTGTTCAAAGAGACTTCACCGTTAAAGACGATTGGCTAACTGAAGGCGGAAAGTTGATCAATCATTGATAAGCCCATGACAAGGTCTGCATCAAACATGGTTTCTCCGAATTAACCAATTTTAAATTTGGAATTGTTGCCTTAGCAGGCCCAAAACTGGTCGCTTTTTGTTCGACCATCAAAGTAGCTCCTCGTGACTACAAAGACGAGAGCTGAGGTAACCAAAAGCTGATCGAAGTGACTTGGTTCACTGATAATTCGTCAAATTTTTATACCTAGTTATCTGTGGAATATCCAAATTGCCACTTGTATTCATTAAAAAAGCGATTAATGAAACATTGCACGCACGCGCAAAGCAAGCCAACAACTTTTGCAAGATCCGTTGGCAAAACCTTACTGTGTGCAGCACAGATGTTCGTGAGAACAACTAGAGAAACGGTGGAACATGACGCTTGTCTTTCAAACAAAAATACAAAAATGAAGCGAAATTCAAGTAACTGCCACGATGTAAGGGGACAGTGGGCAGATTGTCTTTGGTAAAATTGGCAATAGCTCCTACCGAAAACCTTAAAGATCGAGAACAATAAATGTGAATTAACACAAACGTTTCCACGACGCATTAATTCAAAAGGAGGTAGAAGCAAAGTTGGACGTTGTGAACAAAGTTTAGGTTATTTCATTTCGCAATAACTTTATTTTCCATTATGGAGCGGCAAAACATTTTAAAAATCGTACCAAAACGCGAATTCTCACGTTGACTAGAACACGCATAGTAATAGTAGTTGAATGTAGCAAAATGAACACGATCATTAAATAAACTTAACCTAAAGAATTCTTGATCAAAAGATATTTTAAGGGAGCGGCTCTCAATTCTGGAGCATATTTACTTCAAGTTACTTCATCACATAATTGACTTAAAAACATCATTCACAACCTTTACTTCTACAATAATTATGCTTATGCCATTAATTAAACCCTTCGGTCAAGACCACAATAGAAGAAAATTAGCGAAAGTCTTCCTGGCATTCACTACTTACGCTTCAGGACCCATATTAACTAAGTTCAAACGATTTTTACCAAATTGGCCTCGTTTAGGTGAGCATATTTCGAAAGTCAATTATTAAACAAAGTACATATCGGAAAGGAAATAGCCAAATCAACCGAAAAAGTAGACTAAACATGCGGATTGGCAAATGTCATTTAACAAACAGCCTTGGTGAAAACGCAGAGTAGGAGAGTGATGAGGTGGGAGAAAGCAGCGCTCCCACGCACCTTGTCAGTGGTGCTAACGAAGACGCTGTTACCAACTTTAAGGCCGATCACTTCAGAACGCTGCTGCATGCAAATGCATGCGCACCAGCTGCACTAAATCGCATTCACGTTGCACTTACGGCCTCGGTTACTCTATGAATGGGTAACTCGGCAAAGGACCTTTACCACCTTACGTATTCCAAACCTGACCTTTTTGAAAGTTTGCTACAAATCGTGATATGACACTTTCGATGTCATAACCTCCAATAGGTTATAATCTGCTGTTTATTAAGGTCAAGTTAAAAGGGTAATAGAATTGTATCTAACCACAATGTTGGCCAAATCACTGAATTAGGAGGCATTAACGGGTGACCGGTCTAAGTTAATCTGCGTTTTGCCGACACAGTAAACGCAGAACAAAACCCAGGGTGACCACAAGGTGAGTTACGGTAAGAGGCACATCTACCCGGGTGCCCACATAGCGAAAAGTGGGCTAAAATAAAGCAAAAGCCTCGCCCAAGAAAGAACTGTGACTAATCTCATCAGCGACCGAGGCCCTAATCTACCAAATGTCCCTTTGTTGTTTACTGATAGGGCAACCGACGGTTTTATTTAGAGAGAGACGCTCCGAAAATAAGACACCACATGTTAGCATTAAAAAAGAGATAAAAATGAGGTAGCAGCACGCGTAAAACAATTAACACACACACACACTCAGGACCATTCTGCTAACAAATAAATTTCCCCAATTTCTGCTTCTTCTAATTCGTTACAGTTGTGCACTCAACTAAAAACGTTACTGTCAGTTGCTGTGCCCAACAAGACTTGGGAACAGGTGACGACTATTCACAGTTGAGCGCACTCGTGGGAAAACCATACGCACTGACCTACGGAGAGCATCACTTAGTAAATCTCAATGTAAAAAGAACATCGTTGCAAGATAGAAATGTAGTTAAAAAAGGACTAAAACTACATTGCTGGAAGAATAACACTTTGGGCTCCCTTCCTTACTGACAAAAGACTAGACGCATAACTCAAAGAGGTAGTCACTAGATTAATCATGTGAGGAATGAGCGATGGGTCTTACCTTGCCAGGCTGGCTGTCTTGGTCAACTGTAAAGAAACCGATCCGTTCGAACTGAAAGCGGTCATACACCTTGGCGTCCTTCACTGACTGCTCAACCACAGCTTCAGAAGCCACAGTCAACGATTTCTACAGCAGAAATGGTGAAACTCCTGAATATAGCAAATTAATTGACATGACCACGATAAAATATATCACTAGATTTAAGTGGGTTTCTACAACTGAACACGACCGCCATTTTAAGGACTCTGCAGCAGGTGTGAGCGAACACAATTGATTTACGTGAAAGCACTTCACCTAACCACGTTCGTTCAGAGATCGGCATATAGCAAGGCCATATAAACGCACTTGCTATTCTGTACAAAAGCGTGCCCACACACACCCACTGCTGTGTCAATAAGTTGAGTTACGCGCTACCTGCATTTCTACCCTTCTGTCGGTCGGGCCGTGTCGAGGTAGATCGTCGCCACTGGTGTGGTTCTCAAAACCGCACCGGGGGCCGCAACAACTTAAAATTTTCAATGTAGGTAAAGCGCAATGTAAAAACACCAGACACGTAGTGGGAAAGTATCCGAGTCGTTTTCACTTAACGCACGCATTGTTGAAAGGGAAAAGTGTAACTACAGTTGCTAAGTCTGGGGTTAAAAATAGAGTGGTTAATGAGAATCAGACTGGACTAATTGTTGCGTTTTGCCCGTAATCAAAAGACACACTCAGATAACCGATATCCCGGATCCTCCGTCTGAAGTTAGACCCGATCTTCATACGTTAATGCAGACAAGACAAGACCCCGTGCATAGAGCTTTTAATGTCTCAGCCAAACGCTGAGTAATTGCTCGAAATGTGTCAGCTGTGTAAGTCAAGGATGACCCCGACTTGGTGGGTCAAGACGGATCAACATAGACGAGGGTGCAGAAGGGTGTCATGGGCGACCCACCCGATTGGCGGAGTTGTTAAGAAATCGTGTAAATAATGAAGAAATCGGCGGTTAATCATCTTGGGGAATTCCGGATCCCCAAAAATAATACACATGGGACAAATTCGTACGGTTCTTTCTAAATGACCTCGTCTAAAGGCTCCGCCTCATGGAGACCACTTCGACGCCGATTACTGTGGGGGCCAAGCACGCGTGTAATTCAACAAAAGCAAAATGTTCCATCCATGCACGCATTCTTCGAAAACCATTTAGTCGCAGGGAAGGGAAAAAACTATTGCCCACAAAAGCATCAGAAGCTAATGCTTCTCGACAAAAACGTTCACACAGAACAAGAGAAAAACTCGGGGAAGCTACCAGTCATTCGACTAACACCCGCATAGAAATTCGACTTAACTGAGACATGCGTAGCGCTACCGTGAACAGGTGCAATAAGAATGATGAACGTCAGCAAAACACTGGACCTCATCAACAACGAATACCCGCACACTTGTGGAAAAATTGTCCGACTGAAAGCGTACATTAGACCTGCAAATTATCACTATCGGTCTAGAGAACCGCTTGTGGCCACCCACGTCCCAATTAGCATAATCGCACAAGCACTGGGTCTACAGAAGGTACAAAAAGCGAACGAACTTGTCTACAGAGAGATAAATGTCTCCAAGTGCTCTTTATTACGTTATGCGGGTGCATGAAAAAAGAGCATTGGTTAGGCTTTATGTGATGTTAGAGCGACTGCAGAATATATTATTACGACAACCTCATTACCCTCATTTAACCTTGCAAGTGCTCACAGTGCGTCATTAATCGACCATTTCATTTGGCTGACGTCCAGAAGGGCTAAACACTATCAGTATTGATTTCTAATACTACTTATGAGTGACGAGCCAACTTCAGAACAACTGCCCTTGGACAATTCGAAAAAGCAAAATTTTGATTGAGTTATACGAAATTGTTCTGCCAGATCTGCCCTGTACAACAGACGGCGAAGTGAGTTAATTTTGTCCTTCGAAGATGAGGATTTCGGCACCTAAATACTGACTTACAAGTTAAATACTGAGAGTTTTGCCGCCGCCTATCAACAAGTCGCATTAAGTCCTAACTGAAAATTATTCAGAGTTGTTGCATGAGACCACACTAACGCGACCGATGGACATTTAAAATTCCCACAGGCGACTTGCTGTTTTTACGAAAGCCAAATGGAAATGTAATTGACACATGCTACAAAATCATAACAATTACATTAACCTAGATAAATTTGAATATTATTACTTTGAGGTAGGTATAAGCGTTGAAAGTACGTTAAATTCGGTGAGAGGAAGACAGTCGACAAGAAACTTGGAGAGAAGACACATGTAAATCTGCTTCTACAATGACCGAGTGCCTGCAAGCAACTGTCGAATCAGTTCGACTTTTACTGGGGCCATAAGTGGTGAAAAGGGAGAGCACATTGGAAAAGGGGAAAGCAGCACATACCGGGTTGATGGCTGCCATGAAACCACCAGGGCAGTCCTCCGGATTCTTCTCGTTGAATCTGAAACAGACACAAAACGAGAGGCATGACAGGAGAAAACAAATTATTCCATTAATAAAGTAACCCATTTCCTACTAGTCATTGGCTGGCAAATAACCCATCATTTGGCTAAATGTCAAGAAGTCAGGTCTTGGCAAAAACTTCAGTCGTGGTAACTTGATTAGGGAACAAAAAGTAGCTCGAATTTTCAGAAACCAATGTGGCTTCGTTCGGTAGTAACAACTTTCAGGATAATTGGCCGATAAATTACTCCAGATGTATTAGCCAAAATCTAAAAAAGAGCTAAATCGTAGAGATGAAGAAACGAAGAGTTGCGAAGAAAGCAGTTAGAGCACGGGTCTCAGTGGGTGGCGAAACCGCCTTGTTTTGAGACGGCGTGTTTCCCTTTGCACAGCAGTGGCGCTGTCCCAGACTAGGACGAAATCTCTAGGCATTTAATTAATACGGCTATGAATGATCGCGTAATAAACTGCGACTTCAAGAAAAGGGGCATGGCAGGTACAAAAGCAGCGTCACCGAACAAAACAGTGTGTGAGAAGGGGAGAAGCCAATGACGTAAGAAGATCCATTGAAAAGTAACTAAACCGGCCAAAGATAATAATGCTAGTCAAAGGGTTTTCAATGGATCAGAGTGACTTTTAAATAAAAGCTTCCCGACTTAGTAAATACTGCCGAGATTAAATGAGTTGCAAATCCATCATGGTTGGGGGTTCTTATTTCAGACTTGGACCGACTCCAAGCATTCTGCTCAGATACCTTATCGGTGAGTTGTTAGACAAGATGTCTTCGATTAACTGTGGGTGGTCAATATACGAACACGCACTTCGAAGTGGTGCAGACAATCGCGACAAACAAAGAAAAACATTCTTACGAAGCACATGACAACACAAACTTTTACGACGAAAAGGGAGACCATCAACAGAAGTAGGCAGGTACTTCAACCTTGGCAAAAATTTGTGAAGAGTCGAACTTGCAATTTGGTGTAGCAGAGACCGACGTGGCAAAGTAGCGAATTGTTAGTACTGACATTAACATTTGTAAAAATTGTTAGCAAGTAAAGGGAGTTGTTGTGATGCGCACGCGAATTGGGAAAAAATACAAGTACCTATTACATTTAAAACGCCGAGTTGGCAATTTCGCTATTGTAGAAATTGTGCGTATGCCTGGGCAAATATCAGGTCGATTTAGAAGAAGTCAGTATCACTTATCACTCCTCTAAAACACTACTTCGAGGGCCAAACTCACGTTCATGACCTGGCATTAAGGCATAAAGAAGTGCAAACTTGTCGCTCTTAATTGAAAGCTAGCCAAGGATGTGACCTCAAGGTGACCTACATAGTTGGAATGGAGACAGACACACCGTGATTCCAAAATAAAAGGGTCGAGCGGAACTCACAATCTTTCGTAGAGACGAAGTTCGCAATGCACGGGGTTTGAGACCCAGTGAATAAAGGCTTTGGGTTTGTTCTCCGCCGATACCGGGGTTCCGACCACGGTAATGCTTGTAATCTTAGAATTCGCATCCTAAATACCGGAAAACGCTAAGAATGGAGCTATGATTGACCAGAAACCTCAGCAGATGGCAAGCCACCTTTCAGTGCACTTCTCGATACGCAAGAGAACACAAGCGTCTCACGCAGATTGTCAAAAGGCCACTTCTAGCTATGATTGAGTACGCCTAGCTGTCAGATGATTGAAAGCGTGGATCAAACGTAGTTGAACCACCAGTACCTGTCGCGATAACATAACACTACAGCTCTCAGATATCACTAGTAACGCGGCGACTAATGAATCCAACTCAATGTAATATGCCTTCTGACATGAAACTCACATCACCTAGGAATTCACTACACTTTACCTTGTGAACTTCCTTGACGGAAAGAATGATGCCAGCGTACCGTATGCCTACAGGTTGTGTGGGTGTCAAACGACGGAAACCCGGTCGTGTCTCCTCCAGAAAATCGGACTGCTCGATGAACACTTCAGGGGTGAGAACAACCTGACGCATTGCACTATTTTCCTCTGCGGGGAAGTCCGGAACTGACACCTAGAGCGAGAAAAAAGCACAACGGTGAACACCCTAATTGATTGCTACGGCAGTAGCACTTCCTCGGATGAAAAGAAGATGCCCAACTGAAAAGTCACCACTTTTTCCACCAATAATTCATCCGCAGGGTTTCTACGTTAGTACAAAATCCCATGACGATAAATGTTCTGTGTAACTGTTAAACTAACAGGTAGGTCTGTCAACGTTGTGCACAAAAAGTAGCAGGAAGGCACATCGGAATGTAAGGAGCCTTACCGGGTCGTCGTTTTCGTACAGTCCTGTTTACTGAATTAGGCATCTTAGGAAGTGATGTTAAGATGCAGACAGCACACGGTGCAAAAGGGATTTAGGTGGCCTCATTGGCTTCAACAAACGTGATCAACCATAGTTAAAATTCATGAAAGCAACCAGTGATAAATACACGGGTACTAAAGTACCGAGAATAATTAAAGGAATGTGTCAGAAGTAAGTTGCTTGAAGCAGGAATCAATGCACTGCACGCACTAGAGACGTTCTCGCATAATTACAGGGCAATCAAAACTGTACTGGCCAAGCGTATGGTGACGAGACTATTCACAAAAAACGTGACTTGACCCCTCAGTGATTGGGAGCATCGTTCGTGAAGTTACAAACAAATGCTAACGTTCACCTATTTCTACTATTTTTTTTCCCAACCTTACTTATTGATAGTGGTTGTTCAGGCTTGGATTTCTAAAAGAATTACGGACTTAAAAAAGTCTCCAGTTGAACTGCTTACTAATATATTTGAAAACAATGGTAAAGGATTTTTCTTCCTGAATTTATTGAAGCAGACGCTAATGTTAAAAAGGAAAGCAGGCTGGAAGACAACTTGATAAGTGCTCTGTGACGCTAAAACAAAAACAAACTAGATTACGGCGGCGATACATTGGGTTTCCGCAAGGGGTTTTCGAAGAGCCCTTTGAGCGCAAGCTTATAATTTCATCGCGGGATGTGCGGTGGCGCTATCTTGATCGGACATGGGATAGAATTTATGACAAGCCAGAGCTGCGCCGCCTTTTATATTTTGTGAGAGGAAGCTGAACAGCATTACCCCAATGACAACCCGAGTTTGTGAGGGAGGGTAAATTGGCTTACGCCAGGGCAACCACGATTCGTTCAGACATCGGCTTGGTCTCGAGTGTCTTGGATTAAGTTGGGATTGTAGAAGCAATTTGATGCATGCTTATGCTGACAACTGTGGGAATATTTGTCCGCCAAGACCACGTTTCACTAAGGTGCCAACAACCTGGGTCTATAACGCTTCAAGGATGTCTGAAAATAGAAATAACGGGCAAGATGAATAACCCCTCTCATAAAACGCGAGGAGTCTGCTTAAAATGCATCAGACGATATCACGCACCGACTTCCATTTGTTACATTTCTCGGCACAAGCAAAATCTTAAAGCGTCCATAGCCTAGATCTACGTTCAGTGACTCAAATAACACGTGCACTTAGTTGGCAGGCTTGACAACCTAAGATGGCAAAAGCCCACCTTCATACCTCGTTGATAATTTAACGCTAAAACTGGTGAATGAAGGAAAAATTCGTGGATTTTCTGTGCGTTGGCAGCAGATCTGATCAGCGGTGCTTTAGTAGCAAAGTTTTAGTTGGTAACGAAGAAATGACGAACGGGAGTACATATTTCGAGCCACAGAAATGTGCGGTAAAAGGAACTGAAAAAATGTGGCTATTAGCACAACTGGTTTGGTGTGAAAGCCAGACCGCTCAAGACTGAATGAATTCTGGATAAAGTTGGCGGTAGCTGCGTACCAGAAACGTGAAACAAGTCTGACGGTTGCGTGGCAGTTGTGCGTACAAGCAGACGAGACCAAACTGAAGTTGAAAGCGGGCCAAGCACGTCGTGATTAGGTGTTTGAAAAAGCCTCAAGTCAAACGTAGACCAACAAAAGTGATGTCTAAGGGACCCCCGCTTCGGCTCACTACGCAACGAGTTCCTCGCTACAGAGTTATCCAGCACAGATTACGGCATGACCAGCAACCTCAGAAAAGAAAGCCTAGTGTAATTCCAGGTAGCTGGTTATAACACGACTTTGACGAAAAAATCACAATGGGAATATTCCGAACGAGTATACAGCGCGCTGGGGTCCCTGTTTATTGGCCAACTCTCCTTTGAAAAGCATTGCCACATAATTGATCTAGTGTAATTTAATTTTGGTCGTTATGTCGTTGCAAACAGATTAGCCGAATTGTTTCTTACGACGTAGTGCTGGTCCCGTCTAAAATGTCTAAATAATACCCCGCACGAGCAGAAAAATGGCTAAATCGTATTCTAGAAAAAAAAGATCAGCAATCACGACTTCGCAGCGCCACAACCCAAATTGCGACTAAAGATTATGCCGCTCAGAAGGCGATGCACTGTTGGCACCAGGATGCAGTTTGGTGGGTTCTCGGGGTTCCTGAGCTGTACTCTAATCAAAGTAATTTTGGATTAACTTAGAGTACTCAAGTGCCAGCAAAATAGAATTTTCCTATGAGCCGAAACGTCGCACACAATCAACTGGCAGTCCACTTGCTATACTTTGCGACAAAAAATCAGTCCTGCATGTACTGTTTCACTATTTTCATAAAGAAATGTGCATTAGGAAGGCGGGGTTACAATGTTCTAACGAATCTAGAAACTATTGACAGGTGTATCTTGGGGAAATTTTCCTTCAGAGGCGGCCCGACGCCAAAAGCATTTTACTTGCTCAAGTACCTGGAGGCGTAGTAGTAATTTTTAAGTGCAAGTAAAAACCCCACTTGTGTGTTTCCTAGGCACATATTACTGAAATTATCCAATCTTCTTGAGTCTTCAATTAATAAAGATTATCCCCTTAAAGACAGCAATGATAAGTGTGTCAATATTGTCATGACTCTGGATCCTATGGGATTGCGACAAGGACAAGAGCATAATGGTTATGAGGTGATACAGCTGGTCAACTGCTATAAACTAAAATGTACAAGACAAAAAATTCTCTCAAAGACGCCAGATTTCATAAGAATCATTCCAAAAGCATTTGAAAATCGAAAAACGATCACGCCGAAAGAGTTGGAATGTAGCACGCAGACGATATGATTGTGTGTCAGTTTTCAGACGACAATAGTAGGTAACAGGATTTGAGTAGTGCATTACGCGAGTTTGTGTTCTGCTTCAAAAAACATCGCAACAATTCATGAAATAATTTTTTGGACCTGAACGTTTCCCAAAGATCTGACTCGAAGTTAGGTAACACAAAATTGCCCAAAATTGAGCCACAATTTAGAATTAACACTTGGTACTGCTACATCAATGAAGTAAACGAGAGCGCTGTATTGCGTGGACAACATTCTCACGGGACAAATCTGGAAAGTCTACACACAACGTATCACCTTTCCAGTTCAGTAGTATGTCATTGTCTAAAAATAAGCCAGGTCTCAATATAATGATGAAATTCCCTTCAAACAGAGTAGAATCCAAAGAGGGCATAAGTGTATGTAAAAAATCAACCAGTGACATCCAGCCTTTGAATTGAACAGCATTGTAGGGGTCGCCTAGCAACGACTTTAGCCCAACAACTCACACCGGTAACGCTCCTTTCGCTTGTGCAACCACTCACGCACACAAAGTGAATGCCACTTTTGAGGTGGTGGTGGTGGTGGCGGTGGTGGTGGTCAGTCCAGGAGTTGCTAGGAAAGCACAGACTTTACATAATTAGAGTAAATGCATGAACGCAGGAGCGCTGCCTTGCAGGTCGTAGTACATTAGAGAACAAGACCGGTCAACCGAAGTTTGTTCTATAATAGTAGACATGAAAATTTTTTTCGATTCCGAATTTCAAGTTCACTAATTACAGGCGAAATAATTTACACATAATCTATCTCGAGTATGTGAACGCAAGAGGCTCTGCATTCAGTCCCAAAGCCACTTGTGAAACGTGAAAGCAAGCAAAAAAACTGGGGGAAGAAATAAGCGATTGGCTTAAAGCACATCATAAACAGGAAAGCCAAGCCATCAACTTGATAGCATTTCGGATATCCCGAAAGTAACTTTAGTGAACGAAGCCAGACATTCAATGAACACTTTGTACGTGAATTATTACCATGTTACGTTCCGCTCATCAAAAACATTGCTTCAATACGGTAGATGCTACTCCGTCTCCCAAGGCGCTACAAAACAGGTGGTAACAGAAAACCGTTCCAGAAATCTTATAATATAATACATGGCAAACATCCTACGTCAACCATATCGTGTGAAGGAAGTGACGTTACTAAGCCCTCACGTCACTGCCCACACAACACTCAACAAAAGCAAGGATTTTCGTCCAAAAAAAATAAGGTGCCCAGTTAGAGTATGCATAGTGGTACGGAGCTCAGGCGAAATACGAATCAACGAAAAGAATATTGCACTTATAACACTTGCTTCAATGGATTTTCGATCGCCATAAAGATCCTTCCAGTTGTCAATGCTCAATTTCAGAGGTTCCTCGACACACATTCGACGAGGAGCGTGCTTGTTCAAATAGTCACGAACGCAAGCTTCAAGGGATGACGGATCCAGGACGGTTTGACTCATTGTCACGCCGATAATCTCGCAGAACCGGTTGATGGCTTCGGGAGGAAAGCCCCGTCGACGCAGAGCCGTGAGAGTGAAGAGACGAGGGTCGTCCCAGTCGGCGACTATTCCCGCAGAGACTAGCTTGAGGATCTTCCGTTTCGAGACAACAGTATAGTTGAAGTTCAGTCGGCCGTATTCCCACTGAACAGGACAGTAGATGTCCAAAGCGTTACACAGCCAGTAGTAAGAAGACCGACTGAAAAATGAAAAAATGCCGCGGATGAATCACCGTGATCTATTAGGTGACTACAACTGAACGACTACAATTGCTTATGCCTTAAGTGATTTGGGCGCAAAACAGTCGGGAGTGCAAAGCCTTTGATAACAATTTCACTCGTAAAATGGTTGACTGCTAACAATCTGGACAGTCTGGAATTGGTGTCTGTGTGAGCGACCCAATCTTCGAGAAAACAAATTCAGTTGCTGCGAATCACAGGCCAGTGGAATGCGACCATGTAGTATTGCGGTCAAAAGTCAGGAGCAAACGTGGAACTGCTGGGGAACTGAACAAAACATTGAGAAAAACATGCTGTCACAGGGCACAAATCATCAGTGTGAAACAGGTGAAGAGGGGTTTAACGTTGGATTGAAGGAGGCCTTATCATGCAACAACAACAACATAGACCCCACCAGAAGAATCAATGGACAAGCGGTTAAGCCTTGCTTCAGGACACAGGCGACTGGTTGGCATCCCAGCGTCTATTTAAAAATGATGAATGCTACGGCGGTGGAGTAGTACACGACAGAACGGTTTCTAACCCCTTCATACTACCTAACGACTTGCATGATGGTACAGTGCACATATTAGTCAGGAGCAGGTTTGCGAAAGAGGCCAACGATTTCTGTAGGGTAGAACTGATTTTCTGCTCAGAAAATAAACATCGTTCCACATTCCTGAGCGGAAGGATAATTGCGAATTCAGATATCACCAAACACATTGGGTCAAAAATAAGAGCAGGTAGATGCTGTAAATTCTGTGCGTAAGTAAAAGACCAAACGTAAACAGACAACTTCAAAGTTGCCAACAACGAAAGGACGTTTTCCACAAATTGCCTGTTGGGGAATCGGAACAAGGACTACCCTGAGAACCTCACTTGTATTTTGGCTCAGCTCGCAAGGGGTAAGGGGAGGGGAGCCCCATAAAAGAATCGTTAATTGCCTCTACCGGGCAGTATAATTAAGTTGATTAACTAACTTCTCACTCGCCCGCCTCTGCATTTCTTTCCCCAGCCATTCGCATGCCTATAATTGATTAACTTTCTCCAGTCAACTCCATTTTGTTAATTCACTAATAGGTGTGGCAACAAAAAAAGAGCTCTTAAATTGATCGCATGCCATGCAGCGAAAATACCCACATGAACCGTCCCTTGTCCGTCCCACCCCCAATCTTATTAGATAATCAGAATGTCTAAAACAACTTAATGTTGCAGTTACCACGACGGGAGACAAATTGTACTGGTTTTGGGACAAATGAAATCTGAACTGAGGTATACAAAAGCAGGCCGTACCATTCTTAAAGCGAAGTTTCCTGAGTATGGCAATATCACATTTTAGTGGACTCGGACACAGCACCAAGGCGGTAGGGGGCATGTTCTTCCCATTTGAAGCCAACACTGTTTCGGTGCAAAATGGTGCTATCAGTGTTTGGAAAAATTGGTAAAAGCACCACATGCGTACAGGCGAAACCCGATACAAGAAAACACGAGCCAAATGGGTTTTTCTGTTGACTTCAAATGGTCCGATATTCATGCGCAAAGGGCACTTTTACATAAAGAAAAAAAATTGGGGGAGACAGGAGGCTAGTTAAAGTGGATTTATTCAAAACAAACAGAGCTTACGAAAAAACTGGGTGAATAAACGTCAGAGGTAAGGTGCGCCTGCGAGGACATTTCCCACACCATAATCACAAAAGGGGCTTTTTGGTTTTGGCCTCGTTACTCCACACACGGATGAAAGGACTAAGGTAATGTGGTTAGGAAAGAGTGCCTAATAGGCATTTGAGAAACCGAAATAATGTAATAAGATTTTCTGTAATAATTAGAAACTATGACTATCAACCTAGACTCAAAATAGGTAGCAGAAATAGTGATTTTCTATCAATTGCTTTTAACAACAAATGACTGCAAATCGGGTTCGGTTGTCAAAAAATAGGAAATATAATTTCCTGCCTTGTTCCAGGAACGTGCTACTTAATCGTAGAAACATTGACTACACTTAATTTTGAAAACTGAGTATCCTAACGCTGATTACACTAAGTCTTTTGAGTTTGCTACTTTGTTACAATCTGGAGATAGTTAAATTACAAACAACTCATTCTGTAGGATTCGCACCTTACAATGCATCTTACTTGGGGATTACTCGATATTTGGTGAATTAGGTTACTGGCCACATAGAAACGCTCAAGTCGGGAGACTGGAAGCCTTCCCCGGCTCATGCTGTAAACGGGGGCACAACCGCAGTTGGGTGCTAAGCTGGCCCTCCTAACCCCAAGATGCGCAGTTACGAAATTAGCTACGAGGGCACAAATTAAAACCGATACGCCAAGGTGAGCATACTATTACGACACTGAATGATAATGGTGACCAAATTTGCTCTCAAATGTCATTTCACGCGCCATTTCGGTAATTGCGCCGTGAACACCCGCACACAAAAACAACCCAAACAACATTCCGATGATAATAGACTACCGAGGCAGCACCCGTGCCAATGGCTTCGTATAAGAGATTTAGTAAAAAAACACCAAAAAAGTTATCAATTTTCCTTCACTAAATACAGGCAACACCACCATTTAAATCCTCGGGTCAATTTTTGCTGTTACAAGACACGCAGTAAAGAAGCAAGATAAACTAAAGCTCCTACTATAGTGATATAAGTAGGATTTGCGAAATGCGATCGAAACAGCAAATACGAACAAAATCATTCACACAAAACGGAAACCAAACCACTGCTTGATGTCTACCTTCGTTCCTGATAATACTAAACGACAAGAAATAACTTTTGGAAAGTGTTTTTGTGAGACGATCACTTGAACTGCATTAAAACGTGGAGACCACTTAGCCACGATCAGAAACAGGTGATTTACAATATTATGGCGTCCGAAAGCCACCTCAACCAGGTCGTCCATTGGATAATGCTTAATTCAGAATTCTAAAACCTATTGATACTTTTTAAACTTAACTTTCATAATCATATTGCGTTATTTGCATCTTTTGCCTTATTAATCATAACTACGCTTTCGGTAAATAAATGTGGGCTCTACTTACCGAGACTGAAATTCCTTTGTACACAAGGAATGTGTAATATTCTCAATGGAATCACACAAGCAGTGAGTGTAGTCGTATGTTGGATAAATACACCACTCGTTTTTGGTTTGATGATGGGGCCGCATTTTTATACGATAAGCAACTGGATCCTGTTTGCCATCTTCCAGAGTCACCTTCATCCTGAGAGTTGCCGCACCCTCTTCGAGCTGAAGGGCAAGATATTAATGTGAAAAAAAAGGCAGAGGCTACAATAAAAGCAAAGTGGCAAAAAGGCGTTTAAATTTTCAAAACAAAACTTTAAAAACGAAGTTATTACATAGGTCGGCAGCAAACAGTGGAAGTTGGGGGGTGTGAACCGAATATTGACAGTTAGAACAGAAAATCGACGTTTGTCTGTTCACAGAAGACATGACTTGCGGCCACAGTAAACCCGACGTTTTCAGCGGATTTTACTAATCTAGATACTAGAAACATTAAAATAAGTACTATGAATTTTAAAAAGATGCATAGATTTAATCGGAAGTTTTTTAAAGTGGATTTCAGGAGTACGGTAGTATCCTTAAGAAACCACTAGTAACCGTCAAAAAAAATACCGCAATCCGACCAGTCGACAGTAACGATGTAAAAATTGTAACAATCCCAAAATAATCCAAATGTAAACTGCTTCATACCTTTCCGTTCTTCATGTCAATGAACAACCTCCTGGACTCCTCAATCGGTCTATTTCGCCATGGTGATGGAGGGGGATTGAAACCCTTTAATTCCTCGGGACGCTGATGACAAACGTAGCAAAGATCAAGGTCAATCAATTTCAGGGCCCACTCGTAAAGTTGCTGGAAATTATCCGATGCGTAAGTAACTTTGTAGGGTTCAAAGCCCAACCAACGAACCATATCAAGAATGGCATCAAAAAAGCGAGCTTCCTCGTTCTCCGGATTTGTGTCATCATATCGTAGGTAACAGACGCCCCCAGTTTTCTAAAAATAATTGAATTAAGCCATAAGAAATTACTCTGGCATAGCCGAAATTAAAGTTAATAGCTTTGGCGTGACCGATATGTAGAATGCCATTTGGCTCTGGAGGAAATCGTGTTATAACTTGACCCTTCGTGGCCACCAAGTGTTCTTTAAGTAAAGTCTCAGTTCGACCTGTAACAATATATCCTTCTGTTTTATAATTCTCCCCAGGTTTGTGAAACTTTGCAGGATCACCAACGATTACATTCGACACATCCGTCATTTCAACAAGTTACAAATGTGCACGTGAGAAATGAGCAATCAAGCGTTCACGAACAAACTAGCCCAAAGGCGACTCACGATTCGCCAATTCGAACAAAACGGAGTCCAGAGTCTACATAAACAGATTTCAAATATATAAAAAAAATAACAAAACAAACGTAATAGGTTGTTTTAGTGCATAAAAAATATGCAAATTTACAATTGATATAAAAAAATAACTATCTACCTAACTTAAAAGTTTCGGAATGATAAGATTTACAAAAAAAGAATTAAGAAAATAACCTATAAGCCCAGCAAATGCTTTTGCCATAAAATAACTTTCAAAATTTACACAAAAAAATCATAATCGATCAAAATTAAAAGCCAAGTCAAAATATTTTCACAGAATCGAGACCAAAGAATTTCGATACTTTGGATTCTAAATGATCACAAGCGTGGCAAAATAACGCCAGTCAAATGTGACAAAAAACTAAGATAATCACAATGCATTAGGTGGTTGTGGATAAGCGAAACTTATCCAGGCTACATTATTTAACTAGAAGCAAAGTTCAAATGCATGGCCCATTTAAATTAAAACAGGCGTGCTCTGCAATAGCCACAATCGAACACACCGTAAAACAGTTAAAAAGCTTATGCAGTCAAAGGATTATATTAAAATGCAAGATATAGGATCTATTTCCATGGCTGCATAATAGTTACCACTGAAACACCTCTCGCGTTAATTCCCCTGTGGACATTACCACAACCCATCATTTCCAAAACTTATTTGGCGAGAACCTGAAAGTCTAGGCAGGCATATTTGTTCAATATTAATCACGTATTTACAAGAACAAGCATCTTCAACAAAAACACAATCAGAATTACTCTAGAATGAGGATGTAGTTTCATTGATAAATTGCTCATAGTTGAAGTAGCGTCTTCCACATAGTGAGGGCAGTCATCACGCACGCCATTCTTGTAAGCATACTTTTGATAAAGATGTCTTGAACCTTCCCGCAGACGCCTGACAATTTGCTCGTTCCTGGCTTCCATCATACTCTTCTACACACAACAAACAACGTACCTACCCTGTTCCACCTTCATCTGTTGTACTTGACGATTGCGATTACAACTTGAGACTTGAGGGTTCGTTCCTATCTCGTCTGGGTGCCTAGAGCTGCTTTGATCTATGTGGCTAGTGCCGCACATGCCAATACTCATTTTAGGTCTTCTACCTATTTACGAGTAACTTACAAATATTTACATGCCTCCGAAATCGTTCAAAATCAAGCCTGTTCCTCGATTGTATTACGTACATTGGATGTATCCACAATTCAGCAGCACATTGTCAGAAGTAATAACAATTACTTAGGCCCCGCGTTCCCTTCAACGGCGCAACTCCTCTTGAGTCTTGACCACCTGGGCTTTTCTTCTTTTGAACTGTAATCACCTTGACGACAGCGTTTTGGTCCAGCAAGATCTACCCCTATTGTTAGCAGACTGCCAAAATTCCTCATAGGACACTTCCTATTTCTGGAACCCAGACAGTGCCCATATCGGTTTTGCAGGACCTATCAATAGGACCTTCTGTCTTGTGGTGATTGACGCCGGAGATTTTCCCAACGATTTCTTCCACGATAACGAGGACATCACGGAGCCCGTCCTAAATTTGCAGCCATTATGAATTCCTGGAAGCCATAGACCCCGACAACGGCCAATAATTTACATCACGGTAGTTCAAGGCGTTGTGTAAGTAGCATGCTAGACGTTTATAAAATTAATTTTAAAAAAACTTCTCTGCGGGAGTTTTACAAAAGATGGCAACGTTGTGGGCGAAACACTAAACGTGACGATGGCCAAACCAAAGTCATTCTTGAATCGTGTCGTCATATGCCACTGTGAGAAACTCGAAGTTAATGAGGGTACATAAGGCCCAGTATTGCAGTCTGTCGTGAATTAACGAAATTCACTTTGCACACCTAGCCAACTTTCGCTTATTGCATCTTGAGTTTAGGCATTTCTTCTATCGAAATGTAATTACTTTGACCCCAGCGTTTTGTTTCAGCAAAAAGGTTGAGGTCGGATGAAAGTGGCCACGACCTCGCTGAAGAGTGACCCACTGAAGCAACCTATTTCGAAGTGAAGTTTGTCTTCATTAATTCGAGATGAAGGCGATCTTTACCACGTAACTCATCTTAACCAGAGGTGTGGAATTGGCAGAGCATTAATTTGAGAGGCAACTATGTTTTTGCTTGCCTAACCTATTCCAATCCAGCCGACTCTTCTGCATTTCAGTGGTTGGTAAATTAAACGAACCACACTCTTCCCAAATTTAGCAGTATCGGAGGGCTTTTTTTGGGCACTTCCTGGTTTTGGGTCAAGGGCACAAATTGTCAATGTTCTTTTTGAACTTAACTGTAGATTTCCATCCCAACGTGATATTTGCTTTTAAATGTCTACGTGCCACCTTGATGTTTTTTCACAGCGTATGACAATACGCGCTTTCGACGGGATAGTATGGTTTTAAAACATGGCTTTTAGGAACCTAGAACAATAGCCGAAGAAACCAACCCGACAGACTCCTTGGGCCCACCGTTTTCTATAGTTTATGATAGACACGGCATTCACCATGTACTATGGCTGCAAGCAACAACATCCTCAGAACCCCAAGTCATCTTCGGATTAAGGCGTAAAGCTGGATTCGAGTGTGTGATTAGGCGCGTATTTAGAACAGGACATCATTCATTTAACTTCTAGGTGGATCTGGACAGTTGTAAAATATATAAAGGCATCGGATTTTGAGTTATAGAATAAATGAAGTTTTTAGGATTTAAACTTTTAATGCGAAAGGCGTAGATTACTCATACGAAGACTGTGACAGACGTTAACTCAAGTTAATGCTACATCAATGAACATTCGGTGAATGTCTCGGTCCGATGTTAGAGTCGAGTTAGTTTTCGTCGGCTCCTACCCGACAGACAGCAATGCTGTTTCACAAGCCAAATAACAATTTACCCAATGTGTTTTAGTTTAGCAAACATTCTCAAGGGAGGTGTGGTCTTGCCTAGTACGTCACCGACTGCTGTACAATTCCAGTACCACTCTGCTTCCACAAATCTATACGAATTAATTTAAAAATAAGGCTTTTCACATTGCTAAGAAAGCTCTTTGGACCATTTAACTAGACTGTAATATCGTTGCAAAGTAAAAGTGTGAAAGGTTAGCAGCTGCGCCGTAATAGGATTCACAAAACCGCATGCATAATCGGTTCACACTAAAGCTCTTGAGGATACTCTTTCTGACTTCATGCCATATTTCAGAAACATCCTGACCGCCAGATGAAAACAACTAAAAATCATGAACACTAAATCCTCCACTAATAGATAAAGGCTTTCATTAAAGCAAGCTACTTGTGTGGCGTGAAAACACTGGCATCTACCGCACCCATTCAACGCAACACCTCCTGAACGCCCCAAAGACCCTTCTAGCTCGCTTAGTTGAAACTGGAAGAAACCTAATGCCACCGTTACTATGGGTACAAACAACTCATCTGCATTCACATCGACAAGTTCCAGTCACACTTCTCACGTGTTGCTAGATTGCGCATAGACAACTCTAGATCTCTAATCCCTTTATGCACGCACTTATGACCCAGAGCCTTAAAGTACACTATTCCTTATAAATTAACATGGAATAATGCACATAGTGAAATAAAGCACCTTCCCTTCACGTCACACATTCGTAATGTCTAAAAGGAGGGACGGTAAAAACCACTCCTAATCTGCGTTGAAAATCGCATCCTGTTTAAACGCAAGAGTCCCGTTATGGACCCCGTAAGAGCACGGAAAATGTCATGTCTAAAGAGAACGCAATAAAACACATTAACAACTCGTGTTCCGGCCTTTATCATCTGCATTTCTGCGTTTTTTCTGGGTCTTAGGAACACAGACTCGATTTATAGACTCTGAGAATGCCGAATGACTGCCTAATAATTATGTAGCAATAACGACAAAACATTTTGTCAGCCGCACTAAACGAATGTTTGATGCAAATCAACGGTCAGTGTCACCATAATTGTCATTTGTCGCGGTAACTTAAAGATCACCATACTATATATTAGGGCTCTGTAGAAGAAGCTCCAAATTTACAGCTTAACTAGTATATATTCTCTTTGATTAAAATTAATAGGCTAATAGTTTACATACAACCTACGTACGAAATGTATTTACCAAGTCACATGTCATATTGTACTGAACTCCAGTGCAGACAAGTAGATCAGTTAATGTTGTACATCTGTCGACACTGTCTCAGAGCATCCGAAACATACTGGCATTGTGAAAGATCGGTATGGGTTTGCGAACATCTTATTAGTTCGTCAATGTGATATTGACAGGGGTTTGCTGGTACGGGAGTGGCAGGGGCGGGTTCTTGCGCAAGAACGGTGTCGGGTTGCGAGCCTCCACCAGTAATGGCACTTCCGACAGCATGACCCACCGCAGAACCGACAGCTACACCGGCAGCAGTAGCGGCCATCTGTTTAAATAGGCCTGGCTGCTGGGGTTGGGCAACAGGTGGCGGCGTTGGTCTACGCACCACCCCGACAGGCCTCCGAGGACTTGCAGCAGCTCTGGAAGTCAACAAATCGTTTGGTTAATAAATTCGCTTACACCACCAATATCAAATAACAACAACCAGTAACTACCCGCGTCGTCCCATTAGTCAATGACTTTTGATTTACGCGGTCACCATTTTAATAGACGCATTAAAATTCAAAATTATGCAATTATGGTGAGTTTTTTATTTTTGTTTATTTTGATGTGAACTCAAAATAATGATTCTTACTAAACTTTCGAAATATTTTTGGCTTGCTCCACAATTCAGAACAAGGACCTGAAGACCCGATTTGGGCAACATTTCTTCACGTCTTAAGTTCTATTCAAACATTGAGCTGCCGCCGAATATGCTGTAATTGGAAATTTTTTGTGCCCATATTAATTTCTTGCTTTGGATCATCCAAATTCGTGTGTTGCACATTGATTCAAGTATATTAAGTAACTTATAGCGACATCTCCATTAGCAAAAATCGCAAGAGTCCATTGCCAACAAACGTATGTATCTTAAGTTTGTATAGGATCATTTTAGTGGCATATGACTCTCACGACTAAGTCTGTTGGTTAGAATGAATTTGGCGCAAAGTGCAACAAACAGTGTGTGTCTTGAATCAGTGGCAGAAGTTGACATTACTATGCACCTTGCCATGGCCACGTTGATTATGGGGGCGTTAATTGCTGGTCCCTAGAGTGTCGGTTTATCACAATTTTGCAATCTTAAAATTATGCCAATAAGCATTTTAGTTGGATGGAGTGCCTGCGAATTCCCATTTTTTGCCATTATTAGGCAGTAACTATGTGAATTTGGCGAGAATCACATTACCATGCATTGCAACAAATAGTTTAATGAAGCCGAATAAAATCTCAGTGCCAGTAAAACAAGGCTCTACTGCTTACACCCACTGGATAATTTTTTCTTAATCTATGGGTACGTCAGTTGCATTTGCTTTGAGTCCCCTCTCCTTACCTGGCTGCATGAATTCCGTGAAGCTAGATTTTGGCTACATAGGGTTCTGGGGCTCTATTAGACTTTAAACTGCAAACGAGTGTAGCTTCTACGAAAACACATGCTAATTCTTATGTCTAATCTTGAATACTCTTCAGGTCTATCTTGTGAACGCACTCTTCTATTTACTCTACTTTCCGCTTTGGTGTCCAAATAAAAGTGGTAGTCTTTTTCGAAATTAGAATTTCCTAAAAAAATTGGCTTTTACGTGGCGCCTTTGGAGTTTAGATATATCCTGTTTGCTGTGCTCCGTTCGCTTTTGCTAGCGATTTTTTGTATGGTTGTGAGGATTTGAATCAATACGCTTAAAGCCTTTACAAACCTACTATTATAAGTCACTAGTCCTTGGAAGGTGTACAATTCCTTTGCACTGTTTGAGACCGGGCCTTTTCTAACTCTCTGTATTTGCTACAGGTATTTTTAAATCTCTAATTTAATGGCTATATTCCTCAAATTTTTAACCGATTCGCTGAAACTGTGCATTTATTTGGGTTGAGTTTGCGTTCTACCCCACGATATCATTCAAAGGAAGTACGTTATCTCTCAATGCACTGTTTGATATCTTTTGTGTGGACGATCACGTCGTCAATATAAACCCATGGGTTGCTAGGCCACGGAGCACTGTGTTTTCTTATCGTTTAAACGTTAATGGTACATTAGCTAGGTCGAAGGACATAGTGTCAAATTCGTATAACCCGGACGGCATTACTAACGCCGTCTTCTCTCGATTGGTCGGGTTGATCTCGACTTGCCAGCAACCCTACGTAAGGTTCAAAGTAGAGAACGATTTTGACTATCCCATGGCGCCTAGCGTGACATCCATCCGCGGAACGGGCAAGCTATTTTTCACTGTGACCTCATTGAGTTTCCGATAGTCAACACATAGCCTAATGGCACCGTCTTTCTTTTTGACAACGACTATGGGCGATGCCCAATGGTAAAAGACGATGGTTTAATTATTTTCTTCTTCGATTGCTTGCTCTATTGCCTGCTGATTCGCCACAGATATCCGTCGAGGTCGTTGTCGAAGAGAGCGTGCCTCCGTCATGTGAATACTATGAAGCGTGACATTTGTCCAACTAATGTCTGCCTCGACCCACGCAAAGACGTTCGCACATTCTTCGAGTACCTTGCAAAGCTGAGTAATTTCGGGCTCTTCACCGTGCGCTTGTGTGCTTACCAAGAAGTCTAGCTCTTCCCAATTCGGGTGTGCCTGTGATGTAAGCTCCGATATGACACCGTTACTCTGTTCATACACTACCAGTACTCCATGAGGCCCTAGGCGTAAGCAACTCTGTGGACGACTATTTTTGGTCGCGTACCTTCGAGGAAGTCCAACCCCATTATTCCGTCATATGACATATCTGTTCATATGTAAAAAGCAAATCCACACATCCGTCGCTGCGCTTCGAGATGCCATTAGTGGCCCTAACTCTGATACAGGACGCCACTAGATAAATGTCGAACGCGTGCCTAGGAAACCGGCGAGGATTAACAAGGAAAAAAACCTGTGCCCCTATCAACTAAAATGCTTAAACCTGTGGATATAAAGGGCCTACTACCAAGTCATGACGCATAAATGGCAGGGCATGGAATTGACACACCTGAATTGCTATGCTGTTTAGCTGCAGAGTGAGGGGCTCTGCCGCCTGTTGAGCTTCTCATTTGCTGGAATCAATGACCTCATCGCAGCTGCCATGTCCGCTGACGGCTTCCAACCGGGGAAGTGCGGGTCAAATTTGGATTCTGAGAAAGGATTTATTCAACTTCCGCCAAGGTGCGGTCAATGAGGTGCCCATAACGTCAAACCTCATCTGCCATGAGACTCAGTATGACCTATTTCACCGTCTTCTGCTTAATTTCCCCCATGGACTTGCATCGATACTCTTTGGAGACCATATCATACAATTCGTCCACGAAACGTGCGGCGGTGTCCCCGTAACGTAGCGTCCGCCACCCCACCTCCCAGAGCCAAAGGGCTACATCGGAGCGTCTAACAAAGTTATCCGTCTGAACAAGGTTCTGATAAGACATTTCAGGCGTACAACTTGCTTAGCTTGCTCCTAATGTGGTCTGTTTAGACAGAAATCTCATAATGCAGGCTGAGAGGCATCTTAAATTTTTTTAATCCACGCATCGAAATCTTTAATCAGCTCGTAGACCGACATGCTGCAAAAATCTTTTGGATCCTTGCAAGGACCTTTGCTACCATTTGTGGCGTGCTTGGTCATGATAAGAAGGCGTACGGACGATTACAAAGGTTCATTAGTAAAAAACACCGTTATGGGTCTCCTGTATCAGCTTTAAAGTTCGTTGTGGACACAGGGCTTCCTTATATACTCGGTCCAGTTTTCTGTTTTTTGTCTTTTGGCGTCTAGAAATAGAAAGACAAACTCGTAAGGTGATTGAATACTCGGACTTCGTAGCTCCATTCGAAGCTTAAATGCTCAACGCAACAGGAAATCACAAGGAGTCCCTTACCTCCACGCTGGCCTCGTAAGCCGTTTTATGCTGCTTCTCGTAAGGTTTGTCTCTGGTTGGCTGCATATTTTCCTCGCATACCATTCGAACGCAACCAGACAGAGGATGGGTTGAAGTGGGCTTGATCCAATATGTCTGCTCTTCAATACATCGATATTATAGAATACCCGAGCAATAATAGGTAAAAGACTGGTACAACAGAAAAGGCTTTATTGACCAATCACAAGCCAGAGCCACGCGTCAGGCGCCTTCCATCCGAGTCCGCCACGCTGGCCACGCCGCTCATTATATGCTGCTCCTCAGTCGTGTCCTTCTCTGGTTGGCTGCCTAACCTCCACGCATGACACTGGAACGCAGAGAGACACAGGATTGGCTGCGGCCAGGTGGTCCAACATGTCTGCGCCCTGATCCGACGCCACACTGCCCCCCTCAGGAGTGAAGCTGTCCTCAGCTTCTGGCTTGGTTCCTTGCACTGTTGTTGATTTCCAGTGTTGGTAAAATATC